GTTGGTAAAGTATTCAAACAATGTAATGTATCATGAAATGTAATTCTTGTAAATCTAATTATTGTAAAAACCACTAAATTTGCATACAATGAACTGACATAAATAAGGTTGGTCAATGTATCAGCATATGTACGCAGATATATCTAAAAGTTTGTAGTACGCATAAGTATGCAGATGAAGCTATTTCTTTTCTTGTTGGTTTCAAACTTATTTATTTATGTCCTTTTCTTTTATTATTTTATATTCTTTCTCTAATTTTGACTTTAGCTGATTGTAAAAAATGATGATGTAAACAAGTCATGATTGTAAACATGATTTATAACACTAGAAAATAAGTTGCTTCTAGCCACCACAATTTATAATGTCATGATAAATTTTTACATGAAAATAGCAATGTACTGCTAGACAATAATATAATTTCTGAAAATCAATTAACATAAAAACATATGTTACAGCACATAATGAATCATCAAAATTGAGCTGTTAAAGTTTCAGCACAACTTTACAACAGTACTTAAATGTAAGCTTTGTAAACAATTTTATAGTTCTTAATTAATTCTGATAGTAAACAGATCATGTTTACAAAAAGGATTTGTAACGTGGGAACATCACGCCTGTTTCTAATGCAATATATAATGTCCTAAAACATGCTGCCTGTACCCACTACAATAGATACATCTTGAAAATATGCACCTGCACAACTATGTATATCACAATGTATATTATGTAATTTAATCCCTTTTACTTGAGCTAATTAATGCCGAAAGGTTAGGAGTACCGTTGATACCGCCGCCGGTGGCAGTACTTGTAGTGCTCACTGGAGTCACAATTTCCATCATGACTCAAGGAATGATACCAGAATGTTGTTAGTTTTCTAGTTAGTGTGTGGTTACTTAGGGTAAATATTAGGTGGCCCCCTCACTTCTACATAACATAACACACACACACATATATATATATATATATATGAGGGAGTCGGAGTCTTTAAAATTCTGGGAGTTGGAGTCAGTCATTTTCCCTACCGACTCCACAGCCCTGGTTTAAAATCATCGAATGATTCAAAAGCAAAGAACTGGGTTCTATATAAACTGAAGGTGAGAAACGTTGAATGGCAGTTTTTCACTTGTGAAATGCTGTTTCAAGGCATAAGTGAAAAGGTTTCTTGGCTCGTATAGTCACTGGCGATGAAAATTAGATCCACTAAGATAATCCAAAGAAGTAATTATGGGGACTAACTGGTCATGCTTCAACATCAACAGCCAAGTCAAATATGCATGGAAAAAAACCCTGTTGTGTATATGGTGTGATCAACTTGGTTTCATGTATAATGAGTTGCTTAAATTGAATCAGATCATTACTGGAGCTCTCTACCCAACACAACTGATGATGAGATTGTGTCGAGCACTCAAAGAAAAATGTGCCCACTACTACTACAGACATGACAAATTTATTCTGCTACATGACAATGCTTATCCACATGTTGCAAAGCTGATCAAAATCTACTCGGAAACACCCAAATGAGAAGTTTGCCGTGTGTATTTATCAAACATTGCTCCTTCTGATTACAACTTGTTTTAATTGATCACAAATGGCCTGTCTCAACAGGGCTTCACATTATATGAAGATATCAAAAATTAGGTTAATTTGTGGATAGCCTTGAAAGATGAAGGGTTCTTCAGAGGCAGTATCCACATGCTGCTAGAAAGATGGAGAAAAAGTAGTGGCTACCAATGGTCAATACTTTGAATAAAACATAATGTACTGGTCCTTCATGATAAATGCCCAATTTTTGATAAAAACGGTAGAGACTTATTTGTATTCCTGATAAATATGATTCAAATTATGGTTTGATGTCATTCTATGCATGCATACTTTGATATGATTAGTGAACATTTTGAACATCTTCCTATGCAAACATAATGCAAATAGTTCTATTCTTGTTTTCAGTTTTTTCTCACTTCAGGTATTATGTCATACTTTCTTTTCACATTTGTCTTGAAAACTATGGGTTGTACAGGTACAGTTCTTCAGGCATTTTTAATGTATTCCAAGCGAGGAATGTGGCTGTGCAGAGTTTGAGTGGTCTTGATGGGACACCCTGTCTCTGCTACAGAACAGGAAATTTTGTATATCCTATTCTATAATACAGAGAGTGATACATAGTATTGTGATCCATTTTCATTATTATGAAAGTTTCTTACTATACAAGCACTGATAAGCATTGCACGATGGGAGTTGGGCCAACTGTAGTGGTTATTTAAATATTTACACATGCAAGTTTAAATAGTAATGGATTCTTGGATTCTTGCTGCTACATGCAATAACTTGTCTAAAATATGACACAATGAAAGAATCATGTATCTAATCAATAATTTAGTTTGGTTTGTGAGTGATGTGAAGTGAGGCAACAAATTTTCCTACTTTTGAACAAAAATCAATGTAGTTTTTTGTGTTATTATTAAGATAGTGTACGTTATCTAAGTATAATTACATTTAATAGATACTTTTGAATAAAATTGATATCTTCTTGCATAGTAAATTAATTTAAGCAATGTTATACTTTTGTTAAAATTAATTCATAAAAAATTATACTATATTTATGAATAGAAAATTTAGTTATTAATTTTTTATAACAATTGAGTTATTTATTTTTCTTAAAAAAATAAGAAGTTAGGAAAAAAATGCATACCTATATAATATGTGATGCTTAAAATTTTACACTTTAAATAGTTAGAGTTACTTTTAGCATTCCATTTTCAAAATAAAAATTAAAAAAAAAATTTTTTGGCAAAGAAATAATTTGTTTTATTTTCTTATACCTTAAATTTATGACCTTTTTTTTACAGATAACAGTATAAGTAAGCCAGAGAAAAATTGCAGACAATATAGTGTTGAACATTTAAAATACGACTTTATTCAGTTACCAGGAAATAGTACTCTACCAATGTGCCTTTTGTCCAACAAAACTTTGTTAAATAAGTTAATGAAACCTTCTAACTTAAAGAACATTTGATAAAAGTCCATGATGACAAAAAAGACAAACTTCTTTTTAAATGGTCAAAGATAGTGGTTTTATTATATTCCATTCTAAGAAATAAAATTTGTGTTTTTTGTTTTTGTGAGCCTCTGCTGAAATAACCCACTAGCCACTACTGCCTAGTAGTGCAGTGTATTTAACTATATCATAAGCTTAGATCATATGTTTAAACAATGAAACATATATTTATCAACAACTGAAACATGTATTTATCAACAACTACATTGCTACTGCTCTAAATGCCATAAAACAGAGTAAGTGTTATATATGTAAGCAATGCCAAACATAAAAAAAAAATCTGATATGAACACCAAATGACTTCCTTGTATGGCCTATTAGATTATACACAGATTTTGCTGCACTTTATTTCAACTTATTTCCTTGAATTCTAACTTAACTAACTGATAACTCAAGGCAAGCTGAAAATGACATTAAAAATTGTAAATTTTGAAAGAAAATACCCGAGTCAATTTTTATTGTATGGGAGTCAAACTTCTTATAATTTCACTTTTTCATAATGAATATAAAATTTTCTCAAATATAAATATAGGACCTGGAAGACCACTTTAAAAATTACATTCTCTTATTACTCAAAACTATATATATATATATATATAGTTTTATTTGACATTCATTAACTAGAGGAAGGTACTTTTACCCCACGAAGGTATGCTAGAAGAAGGGAGAAAATACCTTATATATTCCCCCTCTTTAAAGACAGCTGGGGATTAGGGGACCCAATCACCAAATCCTGTTGGTGACGAATTAATTGTCCACCACCTTCTAGTTCAGATTCCATTAAGGAGTCATTACATATTTTGAAGCAGAATAGGTGAAAAATACACATTATGACCTCACTGGGACTTGAAACTAGACCTCTCATATACGGGCTGAGTGTGCTACTTTTTACAGAATGAAGGCATGCTGGAAGGAGCGAGAAAATATATTATAGACTTTTTAGCCAAGTTATCGGGAGGGTATATATATATATTTAGTACTGACATTTGCAATAAAAATGGGAGGTGCATAACTAGATGGTATATCAGTCACATATACAAAATTTTGAAATTTTATGGATGATCATTTTTGAGTTATGCAAGATACATACATACATTGGTATGCATGCACAGACATTACAATAAACTCTATTTGGGGGGGGAAACAGTTGTTTATTCTACCCATAGGTAGAGACATCACACACAAAAATAATCAAAATGGACATTTCCATTAAAATATATACCTGAAATTTTTTGAGATTACAGTACTTCCTTTACTTCTTACAGGGAAGTAAAAATTAACAGTTTTATAACAAACATAATATTTGAAAAATCAACAGAATATAACAAACAAACATTTGAAATATCAAATAATTCAAGGTTTTCTTCAAATGGCATGGGCTTTTCTCTCCTTCTTGGGAGCAATACTAGCAGGATTAGACTTAATTTTTGAGTGAACCTTTGGTTTGTTGAGTAGTTTAAAGTTTGCATTAATATACTAAATACAATAAAACTATCCAAAAATCTTAGGAGATCATGTTTCACTGCAAGGGATTACTTTACTAAGCTAAAACACATGTACTTATCTTAGTATTAATAACTAAATATGGTCATAAGATTATTTCAAAAGCACAACATGTACTGCAATAATTTTTTTGGTTTTTATTTATATTTGTTTGCATTTTCATTCATTGCCAATGGAGCTTTGCCATTTATCATTATTTCAACAGCCCAATATATATTACTATTAAGTTACAATTGTTTATTTTATTTATTTTTAAATTTGTTTCTATATATATATATATATAATACATTTAATTCAGTGCTAATGGTGCTTTGCCATTTACTATTCCACATTTTAAAAATTTAATATACATTAAGAAACAGAAAATTACATAATTAGAAATAAAAAATCTTTCAAAAATAGTTACTTAACTAAAACAACATTTCTTACACAAATTTGTTACCTTTTTAGATTTCATTTCAAATTTGATGCCAGTTTTCTTTAAATTTGCAGCACTTGCCACAATTTTCTTCCACAGGACAACAGGCTGTAAAGACTAAAAGAAAAAGAAAGAGAGATTATGAAATACAAAAAGCTATATGCAACTAGAAGCATGACATTGCTTTTCTGATATCAAAACCAAAAGCTCTAATTACTGTATTTTTCGTCGTGTAATGTGCACCGATGTATAACATGTATTTTTAATTTCAAGATACACTTTTTAATTTTGACGTATATTTGCCATATAACGTGCATCCAGTTCTCCACTAAGAAACCTAAAAGATACATGTGCAATGCTCTTATCTTTTGAAGTCACTTATTCGAAGATTTGTCCTAGCCTTTCAAACAATGGTACACCTAATGGACAAGCTATAAAGGAAACAGTATGTGGTGTGGGTTAAATACTTGAGAAAGTAAATATTCCTTCAAAGAGGCTGGATTTTGTTCAATGCATGGGTCCAAAAGAATGCAATTGTAGGGTTTTGAGAAAAGGGGAATACAATTTGGAGTAAGATTTGACAACAATCAAAATTTAACAATTTGGACAACTTCCAGCCTGAATGAATTTGTGGAATTAGTCATTTAAAGCCGTGATTTTTACGTGAAGATCAAAGGCTTTAGGAGGAAAATATGTAAATTAGGATCAGGATATATAATTTCTCATATGAGCAATATCAAGAAATTCCTAACCATCCAGGGGTGTTAATTCTTTTGAAATGCCATACAGATATATTCATAGTTGGCTAAGAAAAGTTCTTAAATTAATGCCATCTTAGCCCTTGAAGGCATATGAAATCAGTATCTAGCTATTTGAACAACTTGAAAATCAAATTTCAATTAAATAACACAATGGCACAGAAGTTTCTGCAACAGAAGATATGCCATTTGATCACAATAGCTTGACTTCTGCTGTTAAAAAGGACCTCTTTTTATCATAATAGAAAGAAATAAATTTTGAACTCTTGCCCTGCTCATTGTAGAGAACTGTGGGAAACTTCTAATATAAATGTTATTTTTCTTGTTATAATGGAAGAAAATTGTACACTGTGGGAAAAAAAAGGGAGGAACAGTTCTATATCTCCCGTTCTACTGGGGCAATTGACGAAATTCAGCTTCCATTTTTCATGTCTCAAAAGTAGGATTTAGGATATGTATTAGATTTATACATAGCATTGTTCTAATATAGGTATTTTTGACACTAAATCGAACTTTCTTGATAATCTTGATTTTAAATATTTTATTTAAATTTTTCGAAAAATATTTTGAATTTTAACCTATAAAATTTTTAACATCATCTTAAAATAGATGCATTTCCAAGAATATCTGCAACAAATTAGAGTTTTTTATTCAAAATTTAGGAAGATATATGTGAATTTACATTTTGGTGCATTTTGAAATTTGGCGTATTTAATATAAGCGATAATAACGAGAATGTGGTTCACGCACTTTTATTAGAAAGAATGAACGATGGACTTTTTTTCCTGTCGTGCATCAATGAAAAATAAGGAAAGTAAGTAGATTACTATAGATTAAGAATTCCGTCAAGTGAATTATTCTTGGCACAAACTGAAAACAATCCGGCAAGATACATTTTTTAATTTCTTCAAAAATTTCGCACCAAAACTACAAAATTTAATATCTAGCGTAATTTGGGTCGTAGAATTGAAATATGGAAAAAAATTATGTGTTATTTCAGTAAAAGTCCGATTTTGTGTCAAAATACCTATGTTAGAATAATGCTATATAGAAATCTAATACGTATCTTAAGTTGCGCTTTCGAGGCATGAAAAATGCAATTTGAATTTCATCAATAAGCCCAGGAGATACAGAACTGTCCCCCTTTTTCCCCTCTCCAGTGTAAATACAGTTTAAAATAAGAATTCTGTTCACATCAGATAACACTAGAGTTTATGCTAGATAGATAGCTGTTCGCACCATAGCACAGAAGAGGAGATACATCACTACATAGTTCAAAACGCAGACAAGAGTAAACTTATACACAAAATAAGATAAAAGATTTCAAAGCTGAAGTTGCTAACATCAGAGTGATACATAAAAAAAAGTTTGAATGCTGATAGTATGGATAGTTCCCTTTGAACTATAAACTCAAGAAAAAGGTACAACATTAATTCTGAAGAAACTCTTGCTTTAACTCATATGAATTATTTGAAGAAACGGAATTTGCTCATTTTTGACACTTCCTCCCCCTCTCCAAAAAGAAAGGCAACATTGTGTTGAAGGCTCTGAAATGGAAAATGGATTAAGAGAAAAAAGAACCATTGTTACCATGCTTAATTTCTCTAACAGAAAGTAATAAAGCACATCTCATTGTTTGCATATTTAAAAGAATGTCTTTATGATGTTATATACTGAATTTTGCAGTTTGCACTCTTAAACTGAAACTGATACTATATAACACTGAAAAATATATGTTCATAATTACTTCAGTATTTACTGTGTGAATACTGATAAATTCCCATAGTTCCAATATGCAAGACTTGATATATTTACTATGCATTGAAAAAATATTTGTTTGATGCGATGATTAGTCTGAAGGCTTCTGCAACTATTTGTATAGTTGAATCAACTCATAATTAAGACACAATAACACGCCGAATAAATACTAATTCAGAAGTCAAACAACAAAAATCAGCGTTGAACCAGCTGAACCAGCCAAACAACAAAAACCAGCTGAAGATGGTGGTTCGGTAAAACCATCGAAACTAGTCCTGTGAAAATTTTGTAAATATAACGCTGATTTTTGTTGTTTGACTTCTGAATTAGCAACTCATAATTCTCTACAGAAATTATACATGCATGATCTTGTATTCTTTAAATGTAATGATATTCTCAGCCATACAGATGCTATTAGGAAAACCTTCAACGATGCAAATTTTTCAGTGAACATAAGAAACATAATTTTGCAGAAGAATTTCGAGAAACACAATTTTCTAGATCATGAAGAGAAGATCCTGAGACATATAACTGGCTCTGGTTATCATGCCTCTGATCTTAAAATGTCTAGACTATGTTCAGTATTATATTCTCAAGACTAAGAAAGATGTTTGAAATGTAATAAGTCTGTTTCCACTCAATAGATCTGGTTTTGTAAAATAATGAAATTTATAACATTACTTACACAGAAATGAACTCTCAAGGAATTGTGCAAAGAATCTTTTACAAAAACTGAATGAAAAGTGTTGGGGTGACTGGTTGCATGGTTGCATTTGCAATTACAACAATAAAGACAAACATAGTTATTGCAAATCTCTGAGGAATTAAATATTTTAACACTAATAACAGCATCAATAATAAATATTTAAATGCATAGAAATGTCTTTCAATAGTAAGTTAAATAACTTGACTGTCTTCATTGTGCAAAGATCTTGCTAGCAGCAATAGTCTTAAGTTAGAGTTTTAGAGCATTTTGTTGTATATGCTTTACCTGGTACATTTTACATACTAAATTAATCATGCCCCTTTGGTTTTTCTGTTGCATGTTATGTCCTCTGATTTAGTGTAATTGAAGGCGATATCAGAGGAGCTGCAAAACAATTGGCTGGTCAGTCACCTAAATTGGCTTTGATGACAGACACAGTGCTCTAGATGGCAGTCCTCTAGAATAGTGGTGAAATTACAACTTTCGTAATGCTAAACGGTAACATTACTGAACAAGTAATTGCTTCTGTAATGTATAGCATGTTATCTCACACCTCTTAAAGGTGCAAAGGTTCAACTTGACTGCCATTGGCCTTTACATTGCAAACTGTGAGGGGACCACACACGATTTTTTTAACTTTGTGTGGTCTTTTCACAATGCTAAAGCATTACCATCTGCACTTGGTGCATGGCCAATACAAGAAAATAAAATATAATAGCTAATCACTTTTATAACAAAAAATTAATAAGAATAGAGAAAATTATTCATTTACTATAAAAGAAATATACACAATGGTTTACTCTTTGTAAAATTTAATAAAATTTTTGGATCAAATAATCTTGTGGTAAGTGATAACACCTTTTCCCTTAAGAAGTGCTCCTTGCAGACAGTGCAGCTTTAATTATAGACTTGTAAAAATTCACCTTTATTTACTACTGGATACAAAAGTGTGGTATTTAAATTGGAGAAAAAAATTACATCTGGTGTGTTTCCTACCAGAGGATAATAAATGATTTTTTAGAAGCTTCCCAGCCAGATACAATAACTAAATTAAGTTAGGTCACCATTTAGATGATATCCAAATTTAAAAGTAAATAAATAAATAAACAAAAATAATTCAGAAGAAATTTACATAATATGTGTAAACGCAAGGAAATGTAGGAAAGAAAACGTACATTATTAAATTCAGTCAAAGGATGAGAAACATTTTTATCAGCATTTAATTCCTGCTCCATAACTTGGATTTCATTTCTTTGCAGCTCCACAACTTTAGTTAACAGTTTCTTTACTTCAGATATCAGTTCTTCGGACTACAAATAAAATGCATTTAATGTGTAAATTTGCATAATGGATTTAGATAATAATGAACAACTATAGCAGTAAATTGAAATAGTGCACTTGTTAAGGATGATACAGATCATTTTCAAAATGTTTTCTTAATTAATTATTTTTTTGGCTTCTGCATTTATATTTATTTAAAACTACAAAATTTAACCTCTGTTTTTAAAATTTTTTCTTCAGAATATGTCTCTATGGGTGGAGGCTTCACACTTTTCTCCATTTCCCGCTTTTTTATGCGTAATGCATTAGTTAGTTCCTTTTGGTGCTTTTGAAAAACTTCAAAAATTGGCTGTGCCCATGTCAAACTTGAAAATTTTACCTAGGTATTAAAGAAATAAAAAAAAATTCATTATTCACATAAATAGACAGCAAAATAAACACAATATATAACAAAAATACTTCATTTCAACTCTAATTATTTTCCATACATTGGCTTCATTTAACACTTTTATGCCTTTTATATAACCATACGTATTCAATATGTATATAACCATATGCATTCAATAAAACATGATGGATTCATGTAAGATTAAAAAAGCAAAGTTTTTCTGCAAAATATTTTTCTACACGTTACATATTTCGAGTGAAATTAACAAAACGTAAGAATTTCACAGCAGGGAAAAATGTCCATGAGAGTAGATTTCTATACTTGTCATTAATTGACAATACATGCAGATGAAGAATCTTGTCGTTAATCTACACATATTTCAGAAAATAATTGAGATTTAAACCCAAGTACTGAAGTGGACTATCTATCATCTTTCAAAAATCAGCAGAATCTCTAAATTTTGTTGGGCCATCTGTGTTCATAAATATTTTAGAATACAGCCATAGCAATTTGTCAGGTTCATCAATGTCCAAAGATCAGATTTGTTATATTGAAATATTTTCACATGAAAGTTATCTACCTTCTTGCAATATCACATTCTGACCATTAATGGTTGAAGATCAGTTTTGTTATATTACACTATTTTTATTCAGAAGTTACCTATTTTCTGAGAAGCATTATGCTATATGTGTCATGAAGCGTCTGCACCACACACCCATGAAAGCTTTAGTGTGTATACAATGATCAGCAGCATACTTATGTTTTGAGCATTAGCCATTAATGTTCAATGCTTTCAAGTTTCACAAGGTAAGTAAGTACCTTAGATTTTTATACCGAGGCAGTGAATTAAATTATTTTAAATTATTCTGTAATTTAATTTAGATGAGATTCACATAATCTATACTATTAAAATCTGTGTGCATCTGCCTGTTTGTTTGTGGCATTATCTCCTCTGAAATGGTGGGAAGTTGAGCTTTGAGAGAGGTATCTCTGGATTCCAAAAATTCATGGTAAGCCATTTTTGACCATCAAATATTAATTAAAAACTCTGGAAATGCTAATTTCCACCATAATTTTTCTCAGAAGCAACACGCTGGAGACAGCATGTCAACGACTGACTGACTAGTAATCAAAATGAACTGTAGCAGACGGGCCAGGCCAGCCACCTGATGATTGTAGAACTACAATATAAGATAGTGACTCATCATCCCAATAATGTTTGTGCTATGCCTACACTAGCTTCATGGAGGGAAGGACAATAGAGTGCATAGACAGGATCATTACTTTGCTAATTGCAGCTCACCTTAATTTTTTTCTTAAATTCTGAAAGTGATTCAAATAATCAGCAATTTGGATAGTTGGAGTTAAGATAATTGGAGGTGTACTGTACCTCAAGTTTATTGTCAATGCAATGGGCTTAATGATTGGTACAGATTTGTATGTGTATGCCTATAAGGAAAAGGAAGGGGGAAAAATCCTCTTGTTTGAAGAAAACGAATTCAAAAGGAGATCAATTTAAAATAGCATGACTGACTACAAACACGTATTATTAAATAGTCATTGATACCTTCACTAACTGCAAAAATGAAACTAATTTAAAATTTACTTCAAATTTTGTATTTTTTGCAGTGTTTAACTTAGTAAATATTGTTATGAATTGTGTACATATATATATGGATAATTTTAGTAAAATTGTTATATTTTTCCCTGCATAATGCAACATGAAAATCTAGAGAGCAAAGCTATGCCAGAGAAATAGGAATACAGGGGCATTCAACATTGAGTAAATGGATATCTTGGTAACTTGGTGAGATATTACCAAGATGGCAGTGGTCTTTGTAACTAATTTTTGTCGCCAAATTTGGCGAGAAATCGGCGCACTTGGCGACATTTTAGCCCCATACTTGTATCACCATATTGTAATTGAATAAATGTAATTGATCACTATATTGGCTGTAATTGTAATTTGACTTTCATACTGCCTTCCAGTAATTTTGAGAGACAGAAAGTACTAGAAATATCCTGGCGGCCGGGTGAAAATTATATAAGGCTGAAGAAAGCATCTGCTCTCAGTTACTGTTATTGTTCACTGTTAGCTCAGCATAAGTTCCAAGTACTATCTATTGTTCAGCTGCGCTTTGCACTGCATTGTGTTTAGCTTGTTTTTGGTTTATTTAATTATGGCAAAGCACATTACGGCTATCTGCCTAAGGGGAGGGATGCCTTTGTGGAGGACTTTCTAAGGGAAATTCTCGTATACACGTTACACATGGGGAAAACCATGAAAACACCCATGCAGCCAGCCCATTCGCGGGATTCAAACCTCGGACCGAACTACCAGTGTTCAGCGACTTTACCGCTCGGGCACTGGTGAGCCCTGCATTGTGTTTAGCATTCTTAGTAGTTTGAAGTGTCACTGTTGATTGCACTCTGTGGTACTGCAAAGATTTATGTGAGAAATTTTGTGGAAAGTTCCAGAACTCTGAATTTTTTTTTTTTTTTTTTTTTTTTTTTTTATACAATAAATTCTATCAACCTATCATTGGACCTGTGTGCATTCAGTCTATTATGAACTTGTATGCATACAACAATATTAATGACAAAAATAATTTAATAAACTAATTAATCCCATGAAAATGTACGAGATCATGAGTTTAGCAGTATACAGCTAATTCAATATTTAAAAAAAATTACAATTTTGGTAGATTATGCATAAAAAATAAAAAGAACAAAAACGTTACATACTTTCTTTTGCAAAACAATTTCTTGAAATCCACTTTTTAGTCTTTCATTTATTCTTTTAGCTAGTTCTTTCAGTATATTATTTTTCCTAATATTTTTTTCTAAATCATCTTTCTGAGCTTTTATTGCATTTAAAAAAAAATTATCCAATGTTGAATGAAACTTAGCTACCTATTTTAAAGAAGAATGCAATCAGTATTTATCCTGTATTAACACAATAAATCACAGTAAAACAAAACAAAGAAAAAAATGGTATTCCGCAGTTGTAAAAATAAACTACTGCTGAAAAGTAGTGCATAGTTAAAATAATTTTAAATATATGAATGGAATTAAATTCTCCTGAAAATTTATTAATTCTCTTTATTGCATAAGAAACCTAAACACTGCTTAATGATTACAGTATATATTTCATAAACACGAACAAAGAACTGCTATTTAAATAATAACTTAATCAAAAAGCATTCTACTCAAACATGCCATATGTAATTTTTACATAATCCAAACTTATCATTATAATATTTTCATTTTTTTGTGCATTAAAAACAAATTGATTTGGAAATTGTAAGAAATCTTATGTTAGTTAACCAGTTAGTACAATTTTAATCTTTTCCTTTCCATATTCCTCACAGAATGCAAATGCTTTGGTTGTATTCAAGTTGAAAGTTTTGAATCTTGGTTGAAAAACTTTCTTGCAATCTTGTCTGCAGTTCATATTTTTTATCAGCTCTGTTTAAAAGTAATACTTTAGCTTTCACATTCTTATTAGCCAGTGCTTTAAACCATGAGCTAGAAAAATACTCTCAGCCAGCTTATTTCTTATGCCTCATCTTATCCTATATACTGATGTATCTGTTAAAGATTGTACAATAATTAATATCGTTATTTAAACTTAAGTACTACTTCACCTATTATTTTCAACTGAGGTTTTTGTTGTTACTTTTCCTGTTGTTGATTGGCAACGACTATTATTCTTATTAAGAAAAATATTCCTTTTTCCTTTTTACATAGTGTTCAGAATGTAGTGTTTTTCAGCTTTCTTTCCTGTTGTTGATTGGCAATGACTATTATTCTTATTAAGAAAAAATATTCTTTTTCCTTTTTACGTAATGTTCAGAATGCAGTGTTTTTCAGCTTTTTTTTACTAATTTAAGCTGAATATATTGTTAATTTAATTAGTTGTTAATTTTTAAAATTATCGTATTCATTCTTATGGAGAACTTGTAGTTAGTTCATTTGAGTGATTTTAAAGGCATATGTAACTTTTTGTTTGAACTTGTTCTTTACAGTACTAGCATTTCAATTTGGTTGTCTGTTATGGTTTAATTTAAAATGCCATGAATGGTGGTGTAGTACAAGTTGCATCTTCATGCTGAAATCAGATTAAAATAAAAAGATTATTTTAGAACTTCCTCAGTACTTTGTGAATATTTAAGACACAGTGATAACTTGCTATTTTGTCTAACAAAGTGTAGGATTTAATTTCAGTTACAGTTACAAAAGCAACCCTACAAAATGATAAAAGAACTGAAATAAAAACTGCTGCCAGATATTAATAAGAATTAAAAATATCTAAAAAATCTCGGCAAGTGATTTCTTGCCTATCCATGAAATGAATAAACCATTCCCAATATATATATATATTAAATTTTTATCGCAGTAGTACAACTAAAATTATCAAACTGCAAATGATAAAATCACATTTATTTTTAATTCAGGAATTATTTATTAGGAATAAAATATGAACATTACATATTAATAAGAAAATAAGCTTCTTTAAAAAAAACCAAAGCATCAACACATACTTTGATAAATTTGCCGACAAAAAAAATTCAATTTAAGATGTATGAACATCTTGAATAGAATCGTAAAAACAACCTTGTATTTAGCGTGACAATCAAAATCGTCATCGCTAATGTGACAATCGTTTGATTGGCACATTAGCGTGTTTCTCTTCTAGTCTATCTTGAATAGATTTTAACTTTTAATATTTTACTTCTGTATGCTTTTTCTGGAAAACACACTGCTTACAAATATAGATGCTTTCTCAGGAATATCAAATGTTCATGAAATGTAAGATATTTTTCTTTGGGTATGTAAAACGTAAAAGACCACTTAAATAATTTTTTTTAACCATTGCATAACTAATAACAGCTCTGAACAGCTTTTGAAAGTTCCAAAGTAAATTTAGTATCAACTGAAAACTGAGTTGCAGATATAATTGAAATGCGCAAATGATATTTTCTAAAGTCTTTTCATAATGTCTTGTAAAATTGCAATTATAGCTGAGTATTTTCTATCGCTAATATAACTTTGTCCAGGCAGATTTCTAGTGTGCAACTATTATTGTTCTTAATATGAAATTGTCTCAATTGAAATTTCATTTTGGATGCCGTTTTTTTTTTTTTTTTTTTTTTTTTTTTTTTTTTTTTTGAATTATCATTTATTTGCTGCTTTTAGTGCATGTTCCATTCACATAAACATTTTATTCATTGAAGATCATACTTATAGTTCTGATTTTTAATTTCAAGGCTTGCATTATCTCATACTTTTGTTCATTTTCATTGCCCAATGACATTCAGAGAATCACTGACTTCTGAGGGCTAAATGTGACTCAACTAACAACTCTAATCTATCACGCTAAAATCATATGAATATAAAGGAATTCTCACACATTTTACTTAAAAAAAATTAAAAAATTAAATATCATCCTGGATTAATAAACTTTCCAGTTAATGAGAATTTAAAAAAAAAATCTAATAGAATTAAACAATTAAAATGATACTAAAAAAACTTACAAGAAAGACTTACTATGAAACCTTTTTGATGTTATGAAATAAATAAAGAAAACACAAACCTTTCTTTGTATTTTCCCATCTTTTCTGTTCAGTACAGCTCTCAGTCGGTTTCCTTCCATCAACGCATGATAAACATTATATAAAATATCTTCCCACGACTGAGAAACTCTATAAGTCTTTTGAAAATAAACAAAATTTTACTGAAATGGAATGCAATGGTGTAATAATAAAATCAAATAAGAAATCATATTAAAATACATAATGTTACCTCTTTTTTTCTGATTGACATAATAATAGCCTTAGAATTTACTGGAATTTTTTTGTGTGCTTTTTAAGAAAAAATCAGTTAGCTTAATAATTGGTAAGTTTATCTTCAGATCATTAATGTAAGTAGCTAATTCTAAATGATGAAAATATTTACATTTTATCCCAACAAACTAATTTCCGCTTGCATTTTCTTCACTCCAACTAAAACTATTGCTTTTCCGATTCAAGATGACTACATGTTGATTACATTGCATAATGATTACACTGACTACATGTTGAAACTATTGCTTTTCTTATTCAATATGATTGATGCTGATACAATGAATTAGGAACTCATTATGGATATTATGCAGATGTTGAAAGGTTGGATTCATCTTCATGAGACTGAAATTTGTGATGTGCCAAAAACTCATCAAAATGACATTTTGCACTTTCCCCCCTCTTGGTTAAAAATTCTTGAAGAACATGAAATTTTTTGGCCATTTTTTCAGTTCTGCTAAATTTTTTCAGTTCTGCAAATTTATTTTGTAGTTTCTTTGTATTTATGCAGTCATTATTTAAATATTGCATAGCTCCACCTAGATGTGTATCTATCAGACATGTATTCATCTAGACATCAGTGTACATATTCAGCATTTGGCTGAATAGTTTTTATCTTTTGATGAAAGCCATTATAGATACTACTCCTAACATACATGCTCTCATATCATTGTTCATAACACACTTTAATTTAAATTTCTTTTTCATTCAATGAGTTCTTTCAATCCTTCAGAAGAATAATGTTTTACAGCATAAAATCCGAGAAATGTTTCCTTAAACAGAAAATTGGAGGGCTCCAAATTTTCATCCTTTGCATAACAAACAAGTTTTAAAACTTGTTTGTTATGCAAAAACTTGTTTGCTATGCAAAGGATGAAAATTGTTGTGTGTGTGTGTAATGATGAAGAATAAAAGGGAGATGCATTTATGTGGTTCATCAAAATTTGTTCTAAATTGAATTAATTCATTTTGAATGGTAGGCCTCAAATATAACATACTTTCTACTGGCATTTCAAAAACTTGTTTCATGGAATTAAGATACTTATTTAATAATTTAAGCTGAAATAATAATTTGCCATTATAACTAGTATTCATATCTTCACCTTGCCATGAAAACCTAAAAAATGTATTAGCCATGAAAAAAATGCATTAGACATGTTAAAAAACTTGTTAGCCTTTCATGCTTGATGCATTTTTTGGCAGCATAAACATATTGTTAAATAATCATTCTAAAACCTTTTCCCCAAAATTTGCCTCATATCAAATTTGTTCTTCAAGGTCTTTATCAACAGTGAATTTTTTCCCCATGTTTTATCACTTACATAAAGTGATTTGGAAGTGTGTTTCATGTCATAATGTGTGTTTTAACACTTTAGTATTAAATTTTCCTAATACTTGAACACTAAATATTATCAGAGTTAGAAAAACAACCAACAAGGTTTGCAACATCAAATAATTTAGAGTAGGAGGTCTTCAACCTTTTACGCACGAGGGTTACATCAATAATTTCACAAAGATCTGCATGCCACATGTCTGTCAAAAAAATAGTGTAGTCAAAAAATTTATTGAAAAAAGGGAGCTTTGTTTAGCAAGACTACAACTGATTCTAAGCGAAGAGATAGTGTTACAAAATTTATATACACATTGGTTCCAAAAAGTCAACTGGAAATCCAATTAAATTGTTTCAAATCTTTTTTTAACTATGAAAAAAGTATAAAGATGATTATACAGAAACAATGCTACAAAATGCATTTGCAAGAAAAAAAAGTCTGATGTGTACACCACATGACTTCCTTGCAAAGAATATTAAATTATATGCATTTTTTCTTGAATCTCATTTAAACTTATTGGATTGAATTAAATTCATTTCTTCATTTAGCGCATAAACCACAACAGAATAAATGCACTCTTTAACCCTTTAACGTGTGCGATATTATTTTTATAATTTTTAAACTAAAAACTCTAGAAATTGAATATTATGATCCTAGAGACAAATAATATATGAATGAAAAAAAATCTACTCTTGCCCATTGTTCTGTGGGTGGTGGTCGCACTGTTAAACCACCGCACGTCTAGGATTTTGAAACTTACTGAGGTAGTAGAAAAAAAAAATTACCTTTCTCCTTGTGTGTTTCCAATAAATAACGAAATTTAAGAATTTAAAAAAAAAAAAAAAAAAAATGTATGTAAGAATTACATTATATATAATTTTTTTATATTAATTTACAAAGTAAATCATCATAAAAAAATTAAAAAATAAGGACTTTTGGCTAAATGGATTAAAAAAACTCAATAAAATAAGGATAAAAAAAAGGACTCAGTATTTATTTTCTTAATTTCAAAGAACAAATTTTTCTTGTGACGCTGTTCAAAGCATGTTTTGTTTTTTTGTTACATGCATAGACCAACATTGCAAGTTTCGCACATGTATCTTCTTCTATGAGGTTTCTTCCTTGTGCTACAAAGTGCAAACTGTCTGGATCTAAATTGGGGGGGGGCTTGGTCTTTTTGGCTTTGGTGCGGATCATTCGTTTCCCATTCATACTTATTTTATTTGTATTTCGTCCCAAAATCTTCAAAAAATATTTTAAATTTAAATAAAACTTTACGTGATTTCTATTTTTAATTATAGCAAAGTATATTTACATTAAATTTAAACCACAAGAAATAATTTATAAAATCATAATACTAGCTTGGGAAGCAAGTGTGCTGAGGTCAGAGAAAAATCTCTGGAAAAGAAAGACCTTTTTACTGGGCAAGGTGCATGTATACTATTTAGTAATAAAATAACTACTCTGTGGCTTTCAAAGCCCCTTATCTATATCCAGGTGAAAATAAACATCCCTATTTGAAAAGCAAGCAAATGCCATTGTGAAGAGCAGTGGTTTCAAGGCATGACCACCAAGCCTCTAGAGGATTGTGAGCATTGTGACACAATGCTCTAGCAGCCCAATGGTCATGCCCTGAAACCACAAATCAAATGTAATACATATAGAGAGGTTTTTTTAACATATATGCATTTTAATTATTGCAATTTTTTATTGTTTATTATAGAAATCATTGATGTGCGATGAATAACTCTTAGAAATTAATAGTTATATTATATTAATAAAAGGAAGTTTTTTTGTTTCATTGAAAACGAATTTTAAAAGCCATTCGATTTGAAGTACTAAGACCTAAAACATGTATGATTTTGCAGTCATTTTGTGTTATTTAGAGGTAAAAGATCAGTAATCAATTGATTTTCACTCAAAAATTTTGGAAAGAAGAAGAGAAAAAAATTCGAAAATTGGTGGTTTCAAGGCATGACCACTGCGCTTCAGAGCGTTAGAATTCACTATATTTGTTTACCATAGCGACACTCTGACCCTAGGTTTGCTTAACAGCACTAAATTTCATTCATTTTTTAACTCAGAATGCACAAAATTTATATCATCTTAAGAATTACCTAATCGCTGCCACATATGCTATTTAAATGCTATAATAAATCTAAAACGACGTATAAAAGAAATTAAGCAAACAACAACAAAAAAAAGTTTTCACAGACGATTCAGTATTTCTCATTCAATTAATTCAGTTTTTACTTTGCTACAAGGCAAAAATACATAAAAGCTCAAAATATCTATATTGAAAATTATGAAGTAAACCTTAAGCACTTATTTCCTTGAATAAATTCCAGAATGGATTAAGCATGATTTAATTCACAATCATAAAAGAAGGTATTATCTTTATTTTTGCGAAGCTTACTTTCTCTACATTGGCAACAAATCTACTATTCTGCTGTTTCAAATGTAAACAAACATTGCCGCCATTGTAAAAGGCTTAGTGGCACTTAAACAACCGTTAAATTGTTAATAATTCTAAAAATATCGCATGCAAATTTATTAAAGGCATAAAAACCTTAACCAGAAGATAAGAACAACAAAATTCAATTATTTTTAAAGCAAAATGTGCTCAATTTACAAACATATAAGAATAAAGAAACGGAGATTGAGCCGAGTAACAGAGTGGATATATATTTATATATTTTTGGTGCGGCCGATTGCAACCAAAACACGAGATGCACATCTACATGCTATAGCAATCCTATATACAAAATAACGTTTTGAGGCTACTCATTTTTAGTTATGCGAGATACGCACATACACACAGACGCCATGAAAATTTCTCTTAAGAATTCATTTAAAATCAGTTTTACAATTTTTTGGGGGGAAAAGAGTCCTTTATTCTGTCCTTACGTATGGATGTCATGCAAAAACTTTGTTAAATTGCATTTGATAGCGGTCAAAATGGATATTTTCGTTGATGCCTGGTTATGATGCCTGAAGTTTTTTGCGACTACAATACTTTCTTTTTACTTCTAACAAGGAAGTAAAAAGAAAGAAAAACTTACATTACTGGCAGGAAGATGGTAGTTATTGGCAGGAGATTTGTGCTTTTGTAGCTGAGAATGATGGTTCAGTAAAACCATCGAAACTATTCCTGTGAAAAATTTGAAAACATAATGCTGATTTTTGTTGTTTGACATCTAAATTAATATTCAGTGTGTTATTGTATCTTAAGATGGTAGTTTTAATGTGAAATTTGACATTGTTTTTGCTTGATTAAAGCTTCAATTATCCTGTTAAATCTGTATTGTTGCAATTTGTAAAGAATCCTCCAAATGTTTGTCTGTCAGCCGTGTTCTTGGTTTTAATTTTAGGATTTTCATTTTACAAAAAGCTCTTCACATATGTAGGTATTGCCAAAGATAGAAGGCATGAAGAGTGCATGTTTACGAATTCCTGGATACTTGTCTTCGGTCACATACTTAAAAATAAATAAAAATCAATAAATGTAGGATTTTCAAGAAACTTGCATTTACTGCAGA